GGATCACTCATCAAGATCCAATTTGGTCCAAGAATGGTCATTTGCTACTTGTGCATTTTAATTTTTCAATGACAAATCTGTATCCCACCAGCATCATTTCCATCTACCTTAATTCTTTTTTTTAAAGATTTATTTATTTATGCATATGCATAATAAATTTATTTATTTATTATGCATCTCTGGTTTTAGCCAGAGATGTAGGGGGTATATGTGAGAGGATTTACCAGAGACAGAGTGGGGAGCAGAACAGGGAGATCTACTGGAATATACTTCTGAGGGAAGCAGCAGGTGAGGCATAATATAACAATGTATATTATATTAATATAATATTTTATATATATAACATAAATACATACATACTTATGGAAGGTGAAGACTAAATAGCTTCTCACTATTAATCTCTTTATGAACCCATCTCTATCACTATTTCCCCCTCATTTACTCCAAATAGCAAACCATCTATAGCACCTGTTATAAATGAGTATGCTGATGCCCAGCTTCATGACCTGGTGAGAAGGATGCATCAAAGAACAATGCTCTACAAGAAAAAGTTGACAGAAGGAGATATATCCTCACCGGAAGCCAACCCCCACACCGGTAAGCACTGTTTCATCAAAGTGCTGGGGAGAAGAAAGTTATGAGAGAGATGTTATCTTCAAAGTGTTTTACTTTGGGTTCCTCCAAAAGCAAATCCTGAGACAATGACTGAGGTGTAATTGTTTATATTGAGGATAATACAGGAAGGTAGAATGCACCCAGAAAAAAAGATGGAAATTAAGATATGTTAATGACATGATTACTGGTGTGGACTAACCAAGATTGATTCAGCTGAAAATATCTGAAGATCACACCTAGGAATTATTATGAGACAGGCAGAGGCTGGGGCATCAATCCACCAGCTCCTGTCCTTCAGTGGTTGAAGGTTGCTATTGGGGCATTTTGCTAATTCCCCAGCATTTTAGGCAAGCCAGCTGGGAGAAAAGCATCAGGCAGAAAGACACAGAAACACTCTGCTCATGACCACAATATCTGCTATAGAAGATTACTGTAAATATTAACTAGGAATACCCACAAAATACAAAGTACTTACTACAAAAACAGTACCTGAGTATGCAGTAGAGCAAAGAACATTAACACACTAATAACATAAGTGGAGGAGAAATTATTGATCTCTCAAATAATCATACCAATACATTTATAAAAAATTAATCATACCAACACATTTATAAAATTAAAAAATTGGAGCAAAAAAGTGATAAATGCTATGGTTACATCTATGTAGAAAACATAGGCATCAACCAAGAACAGAGGAAAGCTTGATTGTTTAATATCAAATAAGTAAAAATGAAATTGATAATTACATACGATGGAGTTGAGGGCTTCTATATAGTTCTGTGTAAGGGAGGTTCAATTTCCAAAATAAACTATGTATTTATAATCATTTCCTTTTAAATAGAAGAGACTAAAATAAGACACTATCATTGTAGCTTGATAAAGATATACTTAAAAGAATATTTTAAGCTTTATTTATCCATAGCTTGAAATATCTGTATAACACTAAAGAAGCATGACACTAAAACCTGTGAAATAGTATAGTATAATGTTTATGTTTGATGTAAATCTAAAATTACTGACTTTACTTAAGCCCAAATATATGTGATAACCTAGTTTGTATTTAATATATTCCATTTATAACATCTTTGGGACAATTAGTGAAATTTAAAATTGTTGCTCATTTCCAAATTCCACTACTTTTGTTATCTGGGTACTTTTCAAAAATGACACTATTTTAAATATCATAAAATGCCTCATCTTCCTGTATTCACATTGGAAGTTTCTGGAATGTTCAAGAATTCAAAACTTTGTGCTCATTTAGCTGATTTAAGTTAACCTTAAATCTGATTTTTTATCTTTTCTTTTTCTGTATTAAGCAAAACCCACAACTGTATCATCAACACAAAACAGTGATGCTAAAATAAAAGAAGAACATTACTATGGCATGTTGTGTTGTAAATTCCAGAAGCTGCCTCTAACCAAGTACCTAAAGGAAATTAGACTTCCAAGAAGCATAGACTCATACACAGGTACTGTCAAAAAGTGGTCTATATCAGTAGGAGGGCTGACCATTACCAAGAACCCAAAGTGATAGATGGCATCCATTTTCCCTAGCCCACACTCAGAATCTTTCTGGAAAACAGAGTTTAAGCTATATAATCTCCAGTGGCTTCTTTTCACCACTCTGGTAAAAACAAGAGATAAAATATTCCTTCTTTTTATTAAAAACCAGTCCAGAGTGGCTCTGGTGAATTCTCTCACCCTCTCGCGCTTCTGACTGTACCCAGTGCTTGTATAAATAAATAAATCTTTTTAAAAAAAAAAAAAAAAAAAAAAACCAGTCCAGAGTATTTCCTGCCCTTAATTGAAAAGAAGACCCCAAATATTCAACAGTGTGTGTACTGATAACATCACCAAAAACAACCAAAACATTATAAAAAGTCTGTCTCCTACCATGGCTTCACATTATTTAATTAATGTGGCTTCCCTTAGAGAGAGGAGAGCAATGTTCGAGGGGACTTGAACTGCCTTCATGGACTAATTCCTTGCTCTCCCCATTGCAGCAATACCACCTCAGGCAAAAGGTAGCCTTTCACCTACCTGCCCTGGTTAGTCCTGCACATAAGGCTAGCTGTTGCGTTTTCCTAGCAGGGCACATCTGATTTTTTTTTTTTTTTCAATAGAGGCATGCTTTATTTATCTGTTTGCTGGTTTGTTTGTTTGTTTTGTTTATACATGCACTGGGTACAGTCAGAAGTGCGGGAGGGAGGGTGAGAGAATTCACCAGAGCCAGAGCAGGGAGCAGAGCAGGCAGAAGGACCGAAGTACACTGCTGAGGGGAGCAGCGGGCGGCAGGAGAGGTCTGCGCGCCATGTGGGACCCTCCTCCGGTGGCCGGGGAGCAGCTGGGGATCGAACCGGCGCCGCAGAGGCCGCTTGCAGTTTCGCAACCCAGCGCTCAACCGCTGCGCCACCGGGGAGGCCCAGGGCACATCTGATTTTTCTTAAGTTTCTGCTTTCCTGATCCAAATAGTACAGTTACCTGTACTTAGAGTAATCACTGCTCTACAGAAAGGAAAGACATTTTCCAATGTCAGGAAAGCTGATAAAGTCACTTCATATCATTTACAAAGCCCAGTGCTTCCTGCTATAGAGGCAGAATAGTGCTGAATATTTAATAGAGTCTCTTATAGAAAATTGCTTATCTCCAGCATAGTGAACCAACTTCACCAAACTAAACAAGAGAGTTATCTTAATCATTGTTACATGCCATTTGGACTACTTCAGTTACTGTTTTCCTAGATCGACTCTATCTCCGGTGGCTTTTACTCGTCACTGTTGCCTATAACTGGAATTGCTGGCTAATACCGTTGCGCCTTGTCTTTCCATATCAAACACCGGACAACACATGCTACTGGCTTATTATAGACATTGTCTGCGATATCATCTACCTTTGTGACATGCTATTAATCCAGCCCAGACTCCAGTTTATAAGAGGAGGAAACATAATAGTAAGTGAGATTCAGAAGAATCAAAACCTCACAAAATTGATAATTTTTATACGTTTATATAAACTAAATTAACAACATTGTTTCATTTAATGTTTGACTGACTGCGTGTATGGGTCTTTAACCACCAGAAATCACAATAACAATAACAGCAAACACTCACTCTGTGCTGGGGACCATGCATCCCTCGGTGCCTTATTTTGCTCATCTTAAAAATAGGAATAACTATAGTAGCCTCATAATGTCTGTGGGAAGACTGTATGAATTGATGGTATGTAAAGTACCTGGAACTGTGTCTGGCATCTTATGAGTGCATATTAAATGTTAAGTATCATTATTATTCTACTTTATTTACTTACAATGCCTCAATGAATCCTTTCAACCTTATCCTATCTTATGAGGAAGATAGGACTTGTCCCATTTACAGATGAGGAAATTGAAATTTGGAGAGGGTGAGTTTAAGGCACAAAGCTAGAAAGTAGCAGAGGCAGGATTTAAGCCCAGACTTCGATTCTAAATTCCATGCTCATTACAGCTACACCATGCTGGTTCAGAGTGGCAAGATTTTCAGAATTTTATAATGCTTAAGGATACAAAGATAATGCCAGGTCTTAAAAGTTGAAACTGTACTCATAATTTACCTAAATAATGTTTATATATATAACTTATCACTGCAAAAAGAAAAAAAATAGTGTTATGAGAAAGCATTAGTTATAAGTTTTTTAGGATACAGTCTGTATCTTGTTTATCATTTTATAGTCAACACCAACTACAATAATGCATATAGTACAGAAATCAAGTCCAAGATTTTAGACCTGGACATTCTGAGTAAACTCAACTTTAAAAACAAAGACTTCATAACCCTTTTTATCAGAGCAGACTCACTGCACAGTTCAAGATAGTGCGACTAGTCATATGTATCTATTCAAATTTTAAATAATTGAAATTAAATAATATTTAAAATTCAGGTTTCTCAACCATGCTATCTGTATTTCCAGTCCCAGCAACCTCATGTGGATAGAAGTTACTAGCTCAGACAGCATAGAATATTTCCACCATTGCAAAAATTATTATTGGATAGCACTATAAGGGATTAAGACAGTAATGAATCATGAACTCTCCATTGACAGAGCCAGACCACAGAAAGGAAGCCACATACCCCAAAGACAGGTGCAAATCATGAGAATATAAAACACCATCACAGTTGTTTTGTTTTGTCTTGCTTTTTAACTAATATGTCATCCACTGGCCTCACTTCTTTTCACTCTTCACTTTCAAAACTTAATCACATGCCACTTCTCAGCATCAAATGCAGTGGTCCACATTACCAACAAGTATTCTTACCCTTAAAGCGAAATCATCTCCTCCTGGATTTAGTCAATGTTGAGGGGATTTCACAGCTAAATCCAATCAAAGTCAAAAATAGAATATGTTGCTCTTCCGGCTCAAGGCGCCTGGGGAGCCGCGGGCCTCGGTGCAGACATGGCCAAGTCCAAGAACCACACCACACGCAACCAATCCCGAAAATGGCACAGAAATGGCATCAAGAAACCCCGATCCCAAAGATACGAATCTCTTAAGGGGGTAGATCCCAAGTTCCTAAGGAACATGCGCTTTGCCAAGAAGCATAACAAGAACGGCCTGAAGAAGATCAATGCCAAGGCTATGAGTGCACGTGCTGAGGCTATCAAGGCCGTTATAAAGACCAAGACGGTCAGGGCTAACATCCCAAAGGGCAGCAGCCGCAAGCTCAGCCGATTTGCCTACATAGCTCACCCCAAGCTTGGGAAACATGCACGTGCCCGCATCGCCAAGGGTCTCAGGCTTTCGCGGCCAAAGGGCAAGGCTCAAACCCAGGCCAAGGATGCGGCTGCAGCACAGGTCCCCAAAGGAACACAGGCTGCCAAAGGTACCCAGGCCGCCAAAGGTGCCCAGGCTGCCAAAGGTGCCCAGGCCCCCGCAAAGCCTTAAGAATAGAGAACACTGTCTGCCCGTGTGAGGACAGAAGGACTGGTGTCACCCCTAGGCTGCTGTCTACAGGGCACTGGTGTCTTCCTGTGCTATTTGTACAAATAAATTTGAAGCAGAACCTACAAAAAAAAAAAAAATAGAATATGTATTCACAAGCACATACCCAAATCTTTTAGCCTCTACCAGTTGGTCCCTTCCCCAGCTAGTAAAGATGCTTTCTTTCCAACAGATGTCCACCAGGATAACCTCTACACAGTCCCAGCAAGGATTACACAGAATAGATCCTGCAATGTCAAAATAGGAAGAGCAGGGGCCTCACTGGTGGCGGAAGGGGTTAAGACACAACCTATGAAGCTAAACGCAGCTTCTGCAGCACAAGTTCAATCCCCGGTCAGGGAGATAGCCACATGGCGCAGCAGACTTCTCCTGACTCACCCTCTGCTCCCCTCAGCTGTGTACTTCAGTCAGTCTGCCTGTTCTGTTCCCCACTCTGTCTCTGGTGAATCCTCTCATCCCTCCCCCCACACCTCTGACCTGTACCCCAGTTCTTGTATGCATAAGTAAATAAATATTTAGGGCCTCCCCTGTGGTGCAGCGGTTGAGCGCTGGGTTGCGAAGCTTCCCACAGCCATTGCAGCGCCGGTTCGATCCCCGGCCACTGGTGAGGGTCCCACTTGGCACGCAGATCTCTCCTGCCACCCACTGCTCCCCTCAGCAGTGTACTACGTCAGTCTACCTGTTCTGCACCCCACTCTGGCACTGGTGAATTCTCTCACCCTCCTGCTCTTCTGACTGTACCCAGTGCTTGTATAAATAAATAAATAACTTTTTAAAAATAAATAAATAAATCTTTAAAAAAAAAATAGGAAGAGCAGAGCTTCCAAGTGGCATCATGGGTTTATCTAAGCTTTTGGGAAAGAGAGACAAATTCTTTAATATCCTGAACATTTTTTTAATCTCCAGATGATCTTAAATTATCAAAAAAAAAAAAAAACCTGAAAGAAGTGAGTTTGGTTGTATATTTTTTTTTTTTTTTTTTAGAGGCATGTTTTTTTATTTATTTTTTATTTGTTTGTTTTGTTTGTTTTGTTTATACATGCACTGGGTACAGTCAGAAGCACAGGAGGGTGAGAGAATTCACCAGAGCCAGAGCGGGGAGCAGAACAGGCAGAAGGACCGAAGGACACTGCTGAGGGGAGCAGCGGGCGGCAGGAGAGGTCTGCGCGCCATGTGGGACCCTCCTCCGGTGGCCGGGGAGCAGCCGGGGATTGAACCGGCGCTGCGAGGCCGCGGGCAGCTTCGCAACCCAGCGCTCTACCGCTGCGCCACCGGGGAGGCCCTGGTTGTATATTTTTAAAATTATATTTTTGCTGGAAAAATCTCCCAATATTTGAAATCTTTCTTAGAAAGAAATACTAATAGCAAGAGCTAAAGCTGTAGCAAAAAAAAAACCTATTCAAAATATTCCTTGTGAGAACTTCAGAGCATGAGTTAATTCACCAGCACTATCCCTAGAGCTCACAGACAAAGTGATGAATGATGATGATGGTGCACAAATAAGTAGTAAACAACACACCAAAAATAGGGGGGGAAGAGCACTAATTTCAACCTCCATTAGATGCACAAGGGGGGAGAAAATCAATGTTTGACAAATGGAAAATGACAAAATCAGTAAGGGAAGACTTTTATTTTCAATTTTCTAAGAGGCCTTTGCACACAATGGAGCGTTAATACCAAGAAAAATAACCAGTAAAAGCACACTCGATGGGATCTATTTAAAATTCATTATCATGAGCCACAAATATAAAGCAGGAACTAATTGCTTTGTTTGTTCAAAAGAAGTATAATTTTTTTTTAATTTAAAGTAGGTAGTTTGATTACATGCAAAACTTGATTACATCTTGGTGAGAAGATTATGTAAGCTAAGCACCAACCTGAAGTTCTCATTACATTTAACTATCTATGCTACCTTTGGTATACACCAAATTTTTTATTCAGTCCACAAACATTTATTAAATACCTACTTGTCCAGATGTTCCAGTGCTGGAAGATGGAAATAATTAATTCTGGAAGGGCTTGAGGGAAAACAGACAAATAATAGACAAATTGAGATGCTAAAGGCCACAGTGAAGGGAATTGGAAAGATTTAAAGATTTACATATTTTTCCACAGCATTTATTCATGATATCTTTCTTCTGAAAATGTTGCTACACCAATAAAGAACAGAAATTTTAATCAAGGACCAACAAAACGTCCATTGTTTGTAATCCCCCATATAGATAGCAGAGTGTCGAAATGATAGTGGGAATTAAATACGAGAGTCTCACATCCACAAGTCTTTGCTAAACCTATCAATCACAAGGCGCTGTGGAAAGACTCAGTGAGATCTGGTGGCAGTGTCAATCAAGCTTGCCATTAAAGTCATTTGCTTTAGATACTTAGTCTTTTCAGTTACTATTAATAAACTTACCAGAAGAAAATTATCCACTCTTTTCTCTGTGATTTCTAAACTTCACTCAAACTTCTGCTGTTTAATTGTTAAATAATAACTAGCCAAATTATGATACAGTAGAAACAAACAGACCATGGTAAAATTCCACCTCTGAAATTTACTAACAGCATTACTTGGAGAAAATTAATTTACCCTTTCTTTCTCATCCATAAAATGGTAATAACAGTATCCACCTCATAAACCTATTGTAAAGATTAAATAAAACAATGTGTACACCTAACCCAGTGTCTGGCATCTAGAAGATGAGTAGTAAATTGCTGGATGTATCATACAAATAAATGTCCAGACAATTAACTTCTACAGCCCATCTCCTACTGATATAGAAAGTAGAGAACTCTCTTTCTTACCCTACAATAAGGTTCTTGAGAGTTGGGACAGTACTTGACTTCCCTAAATTTCCTAGGAATGCAGGGAATATACTCAAGAAGTGTTTGAAGGAGTGAATGGTAATCTTGGTTCAAGAATATTTATTCCCAGAATAATTATTTAACCTCTATGATCATTTTTCAGATTAAATAATTTTTGAAACATTTCTGTTTTATGTGAAGTTAAGAAGTTTCTATGTCTTATTTATCAGAAGAGGTAAATAATAAGTAAATATAAAAATACCTGGGTAGAGCTTCTTCAAAAACTATATGCTGGTGGGCCTCCCTGGTGGCTCAAGGGGTTAAGACACAACTTATGAAGCTATCCACAGCCACTGCAGCATGAGTTCGATCCCCAGCCAGGGAGCTACCCACATGGTGCAGCAGACCTCTCCTGACTCTCCCACTGCTCCCCTCAGCAGGGTATTTAAGTCAATCTGCCTGTTCTGCTCCCCACTCTGTCTCTGGTGAATCTTCTCACCCTCCACACCTCTGGTCTGCACCCCTGTTCTTGTATGCATAAATAAATAAATCTTTAAAAAAAAAAAAAAACTACTTGCTGGAAAAAGATTTGTGTGCAATTAGCATATCCTTCTTAAAGTAAGCCTCCCCTGAAGAAACGTTGCCTACATATTGATGAGGCTTCAAAGAGAGAGAGAAATAAATCAGTGACATTTTAAAAATAAGAGCCTAATTGTTACCATTAAGTATGCTGATCCTTGTAAAGCTAATAATGCCAAATTTATTTAGTGTGCCAAGGAAGTAGGATTTTAAAATTGCTAGATGGCATTTTCATTTAATCTAGCAAGTTTTCGTTCATCTACATTTATTAAATCATAGAATCATAGATAATGCTGAAAATGAAAGGAATAAATGTGCTGAAAACATTCTTCCAGAGATGTGGAAGAGATGCTATTTTAACTTTAATGTCTATCTATTACATTTTTTTTTAAAGGGGCATGTATTTTTATTTATTTATTTATTTGTTGGTTTGTTTATTTATACAAGCACTGGGCACAGTCAGAAGCGCTGGAGGGTGAGAAAATTCACCAGAGCCAGAGCAGGGAGCAGAGCAGGCAGAAGGACCGAAGTACACTGCTGAGGGGAGCAGCGGGCGGCAGGAGAGGTCTGCGCGCCATGTGGGACCCTCCTCTGGTGGCCGGGGAGCAGCTGGGGATTGAACCGGCGCGGCAGAGGCCGCGGGCAGCTTCGCAACCCGGCGCTCAACCGCTGCGCCACCGGGGAGGCCCATATTACATATATTCTTTAAGGGAGCTGACTGATTTTACTGAAGCTTTTTTTTTTTTTTTAAGATTTATTTATTTATATAAAAACCGGGGTACAGGCCAGATGCGCGGGAGGGTGAAAGGATTCACCAGAGCCAGAGCGGGGAACAGAATAGGCAGACTGACGAAATGCACTGCCGAGGGGAACAGCGCGGGAGACAGGAGAGGTCTGTGGGATTCTCGCGGCCGAGATTGAGCCTGTGCTGCAGAGGCTGCGGACAGCTTCACAGTGAGGCACTCAACCGCCTGCGCCACCAGGGAGGCCCTGATTTTACTGAAGCTTAATATCTGTTTCAACTTAAACTTGTGTTTACATCAATGTGTGACTCAGTAAGCCATTTTGTTTCACAGGGAAAAGAAACATTAAAAGAACATGTCATATGTGTTCTAATGTATTTCTGTAAAATTAATATACATACATGGGTAAAAATTCTACCCAAAAAATGGGAGAAATTTGAGGCAGGAATTGGGAAACTGGCTACGAATCTTTAACATTGCTCAGCAGATAAGTTAAATTATGAATTTGAACAGGCTGGATATTTGTTAGAAGATAATTGTTAGAAGAAGCTGCTTTCAGCTGTCCAACTTATAATACTTTGGTCAACTAATCAATAGTACATAGACAATTCCTTCCTACATATAACTAAAATATAAGAATGTCAGTCCAATATTAGAATAAATTCTTTTAGATCTGAATGTTAACAAATGCTTCCTTGAATGTTAACAAATTCTTCTATCGCTTATGACATTTATTGAGCACCTTGTGTTAGGAACTGGAGAAACAGAGGACCCTCTTAGGCAAATTAAAGTATGAAGGACTGGCAGAGGAAAGAGAAGTGGTGGAGTTTTGTGATGAGTCATAAACAGAGATAATCCATGGGTGCTATGAGGCATAGAGAAAACCATGTGAAGATGAACCTGGACCAAATCATCAAGGA